CAGTGGATACCGTCTCATTGTGGAGTGCCTGGAAATGAGAAAGCTGATCAACTGGCAGGGGAAGGTGCGAAAAAAGAGCAGCCAGATGTACCAGTCACATACCACCAAAAGAAAAGAATCATTAAATCGATCAGGAAACCACCAGCCCCAGCACAAGACGACTATTTTATTATGGACAGACCAGAACAAGTCATTATCTTCCGCCTCAGAACAGGGCACAACCGATTACGTAACCACATGTACACAAAATTCAAGATAGGTGTATCAGCCATGTGCACCTGTGGATATGTGCCCCAGACCGCAGAGCATGTACTCCAGGACTGCACCGATTTTGACACATTAAGGCAAACCTTTTGGCCAGAAAGAACAACAGTGGAACGTAAACTCTATGGACCACTGAATGAACTAACAACGACAGTGAAGTTTATACAAGAGACAAAACTGCTGATATAGATAACTTATTTCAGGCGAACGAAAGAAGAAGAAGAATAGAGGTGGGTTTGGGCAGCCAGATACAGAAGTTAGAACATCAGGCAAAATAAGCCATGGGACTCATTCCTGGGATACACATGGGACAAACCAATGGCATGCATGTGGCATATACCTGCACAGCCGTCCGTATATGAGAAATACAAAGTGTGTCAGGTGAAAATGTATCTTAAAGTATCAACGTACAGCGAATACCTTCTACATGAGGCCTTGGGGCATAGCAGGTGACAGCGGCCCTTGGATAGTACACACAGAAGTCACGATCAGAGCAGTTTATGCTATACTGACAGATACCATAGTAGTAGCTACCTTGGAGCCAGGTTGCCAGGACTGGACAGTTGGTAAAACAGGCTGTGCAAGACCTGATCTATGACAATTCCTGTCCAGGGGACAGCATCACATATACAGACGGATCTGTAGTGAGAGGTCAGAAGGGTGGGTGGGGTTTAGTACAAAGGTGAATGGCCACTGACTGAAAAACAAACAGCCATGTGTATAACGTCACAACATCCAGAATGAGAATGGAGGTGAAGGCAACCCTGTCAGCATACAAAATAAGCACACACATAAGTATATGGCCAGGGACTTGTCTTCACAAGCACATATGTTTAATGCTGGTCATAAATATAGCATGGACAAAATATAAAATACATTTCTTTAAATGTCAGAATGAAATAATGATATGACAATCAGCAAGTGTCACAAAACAGATATGACAATCAGCAAGTCTCACAAAACAGACACGACAATCAGCAAGTGTCACAAAACAGACATGAAAATCAGCAAGTGTCACAAAACAGACATGAAAATCAGCAAGTGTCACAAAACAGACATGACAATCATCAAGTGTCACAAAACAGACATGACACAGAACACTGACAAAGTAGTAGTTGAGGCTGTTGTCTCAGGAACTTCTACGACATCAGAAACTGTCAACTTTACAGATCTAGAACTAGTAGTTGAGGCTGTTGTCTCAGGAACTTCTACCAGATCAGAAACTGTCAGCTTTATAGACCTAGAACTAGGAGTTAGGGCTGTTGTCTCAGGAACTTCTACCAGATCAGAAACTGTCAGCTTTATAGATCTAGAACTAGTAGTTTAGGCTGTTGTCTCAGGAACTTCTACCACATCAGAAACTGTCAACTTTATAGACCTAGAACTAGTAGTTAAGGCTGTTGTCTCATGAACTTTCACCAGATCAGAAACTGTCAGCTTTATAGGTCTAGAAGAAACTCCACAACTGATATCCTGAATGTTGGAACTATTTATAAATTTGGAAAGAGAACAAAGAGGAACTTAAAATACATGTGGCAATTTTGATCGCATGGAAGTGTCCAGAGGAACACACAAAAACGTGAAAACTGTCATCATAATGCCAAACATATAGGAACAGCATTTGTGTCTGACTATTCTGGCTTCCACTTCACAAAACAATTACACAGTGCCTCAATAATTCTCAGTACTGACTCTAGAACCTCAGCAAAGTGAGTTCAGATTGTGTCTCTGGTCTACCTCAGCACCCACACAGAACACAATTTCAGTCAAGTCCACGAGTTCTTGTGTCTGACTGGATATATGTATTCACAGTTATTCATTTACCTTTACTACGTAACCATGCTTCTTTAATACAGTCTTGAAGGCGGAACAAATTATCCCAGAGAAGATGTGTATTTCAGTGGAATGAATTCAATAATTCATGTTTCATTCAATGCTGATGTCACTCTGTTGTAATGCACCTGCCCAGATGCATGTACATATGCCCGACTCTGTTGTAATACACCTGACCAATGCATGTACATATGCCTGACTCTGTTGTAATGCACCTGACCAATGCACGTACATATGCCTGACTCTGTTGTAATGCACCTGACCAATGCACGTACATATGCCTGACTCTGATGTAATGCACCTGACCAATGCATGTACATATGCCCGACTCTGTTGTAATGCACCTGACCAATGCATGTACATATGCCTGACTCTGTTGTAATGCACCTGACCAATGCACGTACATATGCCTGACTGTTGTAATGCACCTGACCAATGCATGTACATATGCCTGACTTTGTAATGCACTTGACCAATGCATCTACATATGCCTGACTCTGTTGTAATGCACCTGACCAATGCACGTACATATGCCTGACTTTGTAATGCACCTGACCAATGCATGTACATATGCCTGACTTTGTAATGCACTTGACCAATGCATGTACATATGCCTGACTGTTGTAATACACCTGACCAATGCATGTACATATGCCAGACTTTGTAATGCACCTGACCAATGCATGTACATATGCCTGACTTTGTAATGCACTTGACCAATGCACGTACATATACCTGACAATAACTGAGAAATGTATTATGTCCACACTGTTCATATTCACTACGGCCAAACACTGTTTTAATATACTTAACAGCTGAGCTCATATCATACCTCAATGAATGAATATTTATCAGCTAACAATACTTGAATATGCTGAGTGAATACCTTACCAGTTTGAGCGAATACCTTACCAGTTTGAGCGAATACCTTACCAGTTTGAGCGAATACCTCACCAGTTTGAGCGAATACACTGTGATACCTCACTATGTTAACTACAGAGAATGTTTTATATACACACACAAACAATGTAACACACGACTATCTTAACACACACAATGTAACACAAACAATGTAACACACGACTATCTTAACACACACAATGTAACACAAACAATGTAACACACGACTATCTTAACACACACAATGTAACACAAACAATGTAACACAAACAATGTAACACACGACTATCTTAACACAAACAATGTAACACAAACAATGTAACACACGACTATCTTAACACACACAATGTAACACAAACAATGTAACACACGACTATCTTAACACACACAATGTAACACACACAATGTAACACAAACAATGTAACACACGACTATCTTAACACAAACAATGTAACACAAACAATGTAACACACGACTATCTTAACACAAACAATGTAACACACGACTATCTTAACACAAACAATGTAACACAAACAATGTAACACACGACTATCTTAACACAAACAATGTAACACACGACTATGTTAACACACACAATGTAACACAAACAATGTAACACACGACTATCTTAACACACACAATGTAACACACGACTATCTTAACACACACAATGTAACACAAACAATGTAACACAAACAATGTAACACACGACTATCTTAACACACACAATGTAACACAAACAATGTAACACAAACAATGTAACACACGACTATCTTAACACACACAATGTAACACAAACAATGTAACACAAACAATGTAACACACGACTATCTTAACACACACAATGTAACACAAACAATGTAACACAAACAATGTAACACACGACTATCTTAACACACACAATGTAACACAAACAATGTAACACACGACTATCTTAACACACACAATGTAACACACGACTATCTTAACACACACAATGTAACACAAACAATGTAACACAAACAATGTAACACACGACTATCTTAACACACACAATGTAACACAAACAATGTAACACAAACAATGTAACACACGACTATCTTAACACAAACAATGTAACACAAACAATGTAACACACGACTATCTTAACACACACAATGTAACACAAACAATGTAACACAAACAATGTAACACACGACTATCTTAACACACACAATGTAACAAACGACTATCTTAACACACACAATGTAACACAAACAATGTAACACAAACAATGTAACACACGACTATGTTAACACACTTAGCATTTTTAGCAACACTGCCAAACTATTTGAACAATACTTATACAACTTCATATGAGCTACATTTGTGTTTTTTCCTTCAAATATAACCTTGGTTCCCAGGCTAACCTGGCCTAGAATACGTACCAGGTACAGTTCTGAGAAGTAAAGGTGGCCGGTGTGATGCTGACTATATCAGCCACCGAGTGCTGATTGTTCTATCAAAAAAAGTTTTTTTTTTAAAGTAAAGGACGCTTTCCACGCCTTTAGGCGTATAGGGCATGTAGGGCAAGACGTTTATTTTATATACCAATTGGTACAAGCTGGGTGATTTGGGCAGCATTAGGCCGGCCGCCTTGACTTCCTGGAACTGGACCCAGTACTGGGTCGACCTGGAAGCCAAGGTTCTATCAATATCGATCTAGCACAATATACTGAGACTTGACTCACACCTCACAATGTTCATCAAACAGAAGCAATGCTGCCTGACCATTACAAAAACACATATAATTGATATACCCCAGCGTGCTGACAATTTGTATCTACATGAGCCACCACCACACGGACTGGACAAAATGTCATTGGAAACACAACACACAGTAGCTATTCAGCACCTGTTACATTGCTAAATGCTTGTGCCAAACGCCAACAATCTGGTCTGTGTGATGTATGTCAGCAACATGTACACCAGTGTCCATAGTCTTAGACCTAAGATAAATCTGTCTGCATCCCGCTGCTGGTGGACTAGGACCGCCTGGTGACCTTGACCCAGACTTCATCCAGGGGGTGAGTGACCAGACCGTAGACAGGCTGTACCACCTGGTCATCACACAGACTGAGCTCAAACCTGAGGAGCCAGAGATCAGTCAGTTATAACAAACTCTAGACAACAATAATTTCCTTGATTGTTGCCCTTGTGTTCCTGTGTCCTCATGACCAAGGATCAATGTTACAAGCAAATGCTTCCCCGTGTGGCTTGTGGGGCCCTAGTTTACAGACAGTACAAGAGATCAGACCTGCTTCCCTGTGTGGCTTGTGGGGCCCTAGTTTACAGACAGTACAAGAGATCAGACCTGCTGCCCTGTGTGGCTTGTGGGGCCCTAGTTTAGAGACAGTACAAGAGGTCAGACCTGCTGCCCTGTGTGGCTTGTGGGGCCCTAGTTTAGAGACAGTACAAGAGGTCAGACCTGCTTCCCTGTGTGGCTTGTGGGGCCCTAGTTTACAGACAGTACAAGAGATCAGACCTGCTGCCCTGTGTGGCTTGTGGGGCCCTAGTTTAGAGACAGTACAAGAGATCAGACCTGCTACCCTGTGTGGCTTGTGGGGTCCTAGTTTACAGACAGTACAAGAGATCAGACCTGCTGCCCTGTGTGGCTTGTGGGGTCCTAGTTTAGAGACAGTACAAGAGATCAGACCTGCTGCCCTGTGTGGCTTGTGGGGTCCTAGTTTAGAGACAGTACAAGAGATCAGACCTGCTGCCCTGTGTGGCTTGTGGGGTCCTAGTTTAGAGACAGTACAAGAGATCAGACCTGCTGCCCTGTGTGGCTTGTGGGGTCCTAGTTTACAGACAGTACAAGAGATCAGACCTGCTTCCCTGTGTGGCTTGTGGGGTCCTAGTTTAGAGACAGTACAAGAGGTCAGACCTGCTTCCCTGTGTGACTTGTGGGGCCCAGAGACAGTACAAGAGATCAGACCTGCTTCCCTGTGTGACTTGTGGGGCCCAGAGACAGTACAAGAGATCAGACCTGCTTCCCTGTGTGACTTGTGGGGCCCAGAGACAGCACAAGAGATCAGACCTGCTTCCCTGTGTGACTTGTGGGGCCCAGAGACAGTACAAGAGATCAGACCTGCTTCCCTGTGTGACTTGTGGGACCCAGAGACAGCACAAGAGATCAGACCTGCTTCCCTGTGTGGCTTGTAGGGCCCAGAGACAGTACAAGAGATCAAACCTGCTGCCCCTTAACATGCATCTTATAACAAGCCTCATCACTGCAAACACTGATTCACATCTGATGTGTGAGACCTCACTGCTACAGACACTGATTCACATCTGGTGTGTGAGACCTCACTGCTACAGACACTGATTCACATCTGGTGTGTGAGACCTCACTGCTACAGACACTGATTCACATCTGGTGTGTGAGACCTCACTGCTACAGACACTGATTCACATCTGGTGTGTGAGACCTCACTGCTACAGACACTGATTCACATCTGGTGTGTGAGACCTCACTGCTACAGACACTGATTCACATCAGGTGTGTGAGACCTCACTGCTACAGACACTGATTCACATCTGGTGTGTGAGACCTCACTGCTACAGACATTGATTCACATCTGGTGTGTGAGACCTCACCACCACAGACATTGATTCACATCCAGTGTGAAAGACCTCACTGCTACAAACATTGATTCACATCAAGTGTGTGAGACCTCACTGCTACAGACACTGATTCACATCAGGTGTGGGAGACCTCACTGCTACAGACACTGATTCACATCAAGTGTGTGAGACCTCACTGCTACAGACACTGATTCACATCAAGTGTGTGGGACCTCACTGCTACAGACATTGATTCACATTTGGTGTGTGAGACCTCACTGCTACAAACATTTATTCACATCAGGTGTGTGAGACCTCACTGCTACAGACATTGATTCACATCAGGTGTTTGAGACCTCACTGCTACAGACATTGATTCACATCAGGTGTGTGAGACTTCACTGCTAAAAACATTGATTCACATCAGGTGTGTGAGACCTCACTGCTACATTGATTCACATCAGGTGTGGGAGACCTCACTGCTACAAACATTGATTCACATCAAGTGTGGGAGACCTCACTACTACAGACACTGATTCACATCTGGTGTGTGAGACCTCACTGCTACAGACATTGATTCACATCAGGTGTGTGAGACCTCACTGCTACAGACATTGATTCACATCAGGTGTGAGAGACCTCACTGCTACAGACACTGATTCACATCTGGTGTGTGAGACCTCACTGCTACAGACACTGATTCACATCTGGTGTGTGAGACCTCACTGCTACAGACACTGATTCACATCTGGTGTGTGAGACCTCACTGCTACAGACACTGATTCACATCAGGTGTGGGAGACCTCACTGCTACAGACACTGATTCATATCTGGTGTGTGAGACCTCACTGCTACAGACACTGATTCACATCTGGTGTGTGAGACCTCACTGCTACAGACATTGATTCACATCAAGTGTGGGAGACCTCACTGCTACAGACATTGATTCACATCGAGTGTGAAAGACCTCACAGCTACAGACATTGATTCACATCAGGTGAGCGAGACCTCACTGCTACAAACATTGATTCACATCAAGTGTGTGAGACCTCACTGCTACAGACACTGATTCACATTAGGTGTGGGAGACCTCACTGCTACAGACATTGATTCACACACATCAGGTGTGTGAGACCTCACTGCTACAGACACTGATTCACATCAAGTGTGTGAGACCTCACTGCTACAGACATTGATTCACATCAGGTTTGTGAGACCTCACTGCTACAGACATTGATTCACATCAGGTGTGGAAGACCTCACTGCTACAGACATTGATTCACATCAGGTGTGTGAGACTTCACTGCTACAGACATTGATTCACATCAGGTGTGTGAGACCTCACTGCTACAGACATTAATTCACATCAGGTGTGTGAGACCTCACTGCTACAGACATTGATTCACATCAGGTGTGTGAGACTTCACTGCTAAAGACATTAATTCACATCAGGTGTGTGAGACCTCACTGCTACATTGATTCACATCAGGTGTGGGAGACCTCGCTGCTACAAACATTGATTCACATCAAGTGTGTGAGACCTCACTGCTACAGACACTGATTCACATCAGGTGTGGGAGACCTCACTGCTACAGACATTGATTCACACACATCAGGTGTGTGAGACCTCACTGCTACAGACACTGATTCACACACATCATGTGTGGGAGACCTCACTACCAAGATTCTCACATGCAACCATCTCACTCAAATTTTGTCAAGATTCTCACAAGCAACCATATGACTGGCTCAAATGTGTGCCAATATTCTGAGGCTTCCATCTGATTTACTAAAGCATTCAGACATGAGTTTGTGTGTGTGTGTGTGTGTGTGTGTGTTTGTTGTGTATGCACATGTGTGTGTGTGTACCTGCGCATGTTTGTGTGTAGGTAACTGTCACGGTGTTGTGGTACTGGTTACGGGAACAGGTAATGTGACTGTAAAGTCTAATACAGGAATGTTACTCTACCCCACATTAGCCGCACAGAAAAGTTGATACACTATTATAATGACACTGGTCCCCTCTCAACTTGTGTTTTGTTCAGATTGATAGGGAGGGCAAATTCTATTCCTGCATTTGCTAAGCAATTCATGAGAATCTGCAGATTATTGTGTGTATCTACAGTAGTTCTGTATCATCTAAAAAATAGAAAGTTTCTGAGACATCCTGTATGCATCTTAGCCTTTGCACAAAGCCTGGACAGATATACATGCGACCATGTGATTTACTCCATGGTTTTCCAACATTCAGTCTACCACCAAGTCAACTCAAAGCTCTGCCAATATCCACACATATACTATCTGACTGATTCAAAGCTCTGCCAACCTTCACACATATACTATCTGACTGATTCAAAGCCCTACCAACCTTCACACGTATACTATCTGACTGATTCAAAGTCCTGCCAACCTCCACACATATACTATCTGACTGATTCAAAGTCCTGCCAACCTCCACACATATACTATCTGACTGATTCAAAGCCCTACAAACCTTCACACATTTACCAACTGACTGATTCAAAGTCCTGATAACCTTCACACATATACTATCTGACTGATTCAAAGCTCTGCCAACCTTCACAGATATACTATCTGACTGATTCAAAGCTCTACCAACCTTCAAACATATACTATCTGACTGATTCAAAGCCCTGCCAACCTCTACACATACACTATCTGACTGAATCAAAGTCCTGCCAACCTTCACACGTATACTATCTGACTGATTCAAAGCTCTGCCAACCTCCACACATAGACTATCTGACTGACTCAAAGGTTTTACTAGGTCAAACATCTGATTTGCTCAAAGGTTTTCCTATATTCTAATGCAACCATCTGAGTGACTCCAAAGTGTTCACAGCCTACCTTCTGATCAACGATGTCACCAGCACAGCTGCCTCACTGTAGGCAAACTTGTGACCAGGACATTTCCGCTTGCCTGCAAATCCGAAAGGTACAAAGTCGTAAGTTCCTCTCTGTTTGCTGTTTTCAGGGCTGAACCTGTCAGGATCAAACCTGCAAGAAAAGAAATACAAGAGTCACACCTGAACACAAATACTGCACTTTGTCTGCAATAACTTCCCCAACATATAAGAAAGCCCTACAGGACTCTCAGTTAAATCCAGAGATTGGGAGCGATACAACATGAGAATAGTTTTGGAGGCTACATGGGCAGATGCTCAAGAAAGATCAGCCCAGTGTAGCAAGAGCAATTCATAGAGATGACAGTACGCTATTAACTACAGACAAAGAGAAGAAGAGGCTTTCCTGCAGAGGTTCATTTCACAGACAGACCACAATGATGGAGATAACAGAGATAGAGTTAGAGAAGATCTGGCAACCATCTTAAAGAACAAACCTTATGAAGACATCATACAGGTGGAAGATGTAAAACCAGTTCTGAAAAGGGCGAAAGACACTGCACCCGGGCCTGACGGGGTTAGATATTCCCACATGAAAGACACGAGTGATGCAAACCTGGTGGAGGTGACAGCTTGCTTCAACCAGAGCATTTGAACAGCTACAGTCCCAGAAGAGTGGATGCACAGCTACCTGATTTCACTTCCTAAGCCTGGCAGGAATCATTCAACACTCGGGGGCTTTAGGATCATAACCCTACAAAACACCTTTGGTAAAGTGCTGGAGAAGATAGTGGTGGGTAAGCTACAAGCATTTTTGGAACAGAGAAATCTCCTTCCACAAGGATTGGGGAGTTACTGGCCGGGGAAGGACACATGGTCTCTAGAGATACAGGTAAACAGCAAATATTTTAAATAAGCGGCCATGGACCAACACAGGCGGCGGTCACTGACAGGAGGAGAGCTAGCTGGTGGGATAGAGATACCTCAAAACTCCATGACACGGCCATGATGAAGCACGTGCAGCCTCTCACCAAACATGAGAAACTGCTTTGACCTGACACAGCAACAGTAATGTTCTTTATCCATGGCCAGTGATTTCACCTGATGACCTTAACTCAATTATGCATTATGGAACATATTTGACAGCCTTGTCATAAATCGACCATGATTAAAATGAATAACGAAGCATCTGAAGAACAGTTTGGATTTTTTTTAAATAATGGCACTAGGGAAGCCATAATTTGTCTACAGATGCTGACCCAAAAAATATACAGAAGTTCAGAAAAACATTTATGCATGTTTCAGATTACAACAATGCCTCTGACAGGGTGCAACAGGAACAAGCTTTTTGCCTGCCTCCAGAATTTAGGATTAGATGGAAAGGATGTCAGAATGATTAGTAACTTATACTGTAAACAAACAGACGTAACATCTCCTCACCACAGACAGAGATAAACAGAGGAGTACCACAGGGGTGTATGTTATTCTCAAGCCCTTCCAACTTATATATAGACAAATATTCATCAGCAAGTTGAAGAACTGCCTGGACTGAATATTAATGCAAGAAAAATTAACAGTCTGAGATATGCAGATGACACAGTGTTACTAGCAGAAAGTGAGCAGCAGTTATAGGTCCTAGTCAATCAAGTCAACAGGCAAAGTGCAGAGTTTGATTGAGATATTACCAACAGAAAAATAAAACTTTGGTAATTATTGTAAGTTATGACAGAAGTGAAACAGAAATTAAAAAGAGAATAGGAATGGCTAAAACTGACTTCAACAAGATGCACAAATTACTGACAGCTGGAGAGATGAACAGCACATTAAAACAGGACAGTTGTCAAATTTTACACATACTCAACCTTGCTGTATGGTTTGAACACTTGGACAATGAACAGGCAACAGCAAAATCGAATAGGCTGCATTTAATTGAAACAAAAACAGTCCAATAAAGAGGTTCTGCAAAGGCTTAAAAAATGAATTACTGAAAAAAAAAAATTATTGAAATACTTTGGACACATTTAGAGAATCAATACCCTGTTAAAAAACATCTGAGGGAAAGGTCAAAAGCAAGAGAACAAGAGGTGGACAACGATACAAGGGGGCAGACAACATCAAGATATGGACGGTCAGCAGTCCGTAAGAGTGTACAACCAGGACAAGAGATACAGCGCCCAATAGCAGCACAAGACAACACAACAACAGCTGTGAGACAGCACCCCACATGACACAACAACAACTGTGAGACAGCATCCCACACAACAACAACAGCTGTGAGATAGCATTCCACACAAAACGACAAGAACTGTTGTGAGACAGCACTAACTTGTTTGGCAGTGGCCAGATTGTCTCATCTTGGAGCACCACACCAATGGCATGAATCACTGGGGTCTGGCAAAAAAATACAATAGGTCAGTTGATTTACAACAACAACAATAACAATAATGTGCATTATCATAAAAAAAACTGCCAGACAAACACTCTTGTAAAAATAACACTGAAGTTATATTACTTTTTAATTACCCTCTTTCAAAATGTAATTGGTTCCTGAACCACACATAATGCCCTATTCACTGTCCATGTTTGGCATTGACAGCATAAAGTAGGGATAAAGATGCTATTAATAATTTGCTGTTTTGCTGGAAGGGATACATTTGAGTATCTAAGCAGTGGGGCCAACTCGTAGATGACATCATTTGCCTTCTGTACTCTGGCTTCCATCTCCCTATCGAGTTCGCCATCCTCTGTAAATATACTTCCTAGATATTTTAATTCTCGTATGTTTGATTTTATTACTGTTAAAATGGTCGTTCATGATATTATGTTGCCTGCCTATCCTCATTACCTCAGTTTTAGCAGTGTTTATCTAATTACATACTTTGTGCAGATTTGATGTAAGGAGTCAATATGGTGTTCTTGATGTTGTATTAGACATTGATTGTTTGAAAAAAGAAGTTCACAGGTTTCTTCAGTGTGTCAAAGGCACTTTTATAGACCAATCTGCACCTGTTCACTTATTTGAGGCTATATATATTGTACAGATCACTATCACCTGGACAGACAGACAGACAGGCAGACAGACAGGCAGGCAGGCAGGCAGGCAGGCAGGCAGGCAGGCAGGCAGGCAGGCAGGCAGGCAGGCAGGCAGGCAGGCAGACAGGTGAAAACCCCAAATGTTAGGTTGCTCTCATCTGGCAGCCAAGGTAAACGTCTGTGTAAACTCTGGATGTGGATTCAAACCCCAGAACCTAGACCTGGCAGGCCAGTGTTCAGCTTAAACACTAGAGTGGCCCCCTTATAAATGTTACATATTCTGAGACTTCACAGACTTCCATGTCAGACTCCAAGTTATCCCCAGACAGCACAATCACACCGGAAGATTACTTACACCTTTGGGAATTTTATGTCCTCCGAGCTCTGAATCAAAGTCCTGGAACCTGGCAGCCCATGGAGCTACCACAGCACAACGAAGTGTTTCCTCCAGCACCTGGTTCAGGTAGCTGGTTTCAGGTACAGACAAACGGGGCTTTATTACTGTGTCAGTAGCAGCAGTTTTCCCACTTGCACACAAGTCTCACACACACATACATAGATGCATACAAATAAATTATAAATGTAGACGCACACATAAACACGTCTCGCACACACATACATAGATGCATACAAATAAATTATAAATGTAGACACATACACACATCCACACACACACACACACACACACACACACAAAGCTACTTTTACAGACTAATGCTATCAAGCAACAAATATGCACACATACACACATACATACACATGTCTCACACACATACATAGATGAATAAATATAAATTAAAAATGTAGATGCACACATACACACACAAAGCTACATTTACAGACTAATGCTATGAAGCAACAAATATCAGATATTATCACAACATGTAACACACTGATATAAGAAGCATTCATCTGAAACCTGTTCGAGCAGCAGTGTGCATAACTGTGCGTTGAGCATAGTCACGTCATAGACATGTGATAAGATCTGAACAATGACTAAAACAGCCCCCTGACTTTACATTCACACAATGAATTCACACAATGAACATAACGTGCTTGATGTAAAAATACAACTGCCATGTGAAAGATGAATGTTTTAAAGGGCTGAATGTAAGTCAGGCCTGCGTGCCCAATTTGGGAATCTGAAAATAAAGTTTGTTCATTCATTTATTCATTTCCTAAATTACGCATATTTATCTTTCATTCTCTACAACAAATGTTTTTGGTCAACCTCGTTTTAATTTGTCCTGAGGTTCTGAAGAAAGGGCTTTCTCGTTATCTTCTCAGTTTTTTCCTAGTGTATCTCTGAAGAAAGGGTTTTCTCGTTATCATCTCAGTTTTCTCCCAGTGTATCTCTGAACAAAGGGCTTTCTCGTTATCATCTCAGTTTTCTCCTAGTGTATCTCTGAACAAAGGGCTTTCTCGTTATCATCTCAGTTTTTTCATAGTGTATCTCTGAAGAAAGGGTTTTCTCGTTATCATCTCAGTTTTCTCCCAGTGTATCTCTGAACAAAGGGCTTTCTCGTTATCATCTCAGTTTTCTCCTAGTGTATCTCTGAACAAAGGGCTTTCTCGTTATCATCTCAGTTTTCTCCTAGTGTATCTCTGAACAAAGGGCTTTCTCGTTATCTTCTCAGTTTTCTAACAGTGTATCCTCTCAAACATCAGGGATTTGTCTTTGGCCTTCCATGTACAAGGATTCATGTCCATTGATGATTTTATCAGAGATTAGCCTAGCATAGTTCATCTGTAACTGGCTTGGCTATCTTACTGCTGTTTATCTGTAACTGGCTTGGCTATCTTACTGCTGTTTATCTGTAACTGGCTTGGCTATCTTACTGCTGTTTATCTGTAACTGGCTTGGCTATCTTACTGCTGTTTATCTGTAACTGGCTTGGCTATCTTACTGCTGTTTATCTGTAACTGGCTTAGCTATCTTACTGCTGTTTATCTGTAACTGGCTTGGCTATCTTACTGCTGTTTATCTGTAACTGTCTTGGCTATCTTACTGCTGTTTATCTGTAACTGGCTTAGCTATCTTACTGCTGTTTTTCTGTAACTGACTGAGCTATCTTACTGCTGTTTATATGTAACTGGCTTATCTATCTTCCTGCTGTTTATATGTAACTGGCTTATCTATCTTCCTGCTGTTTATTTGTAACTGGCTTATCTATCTTACTGCTGTTTATCTGTAACTGGCTTATCTATCTTCCTGCTGTTTATATGTAACTGGCTTATCTATCATACTGCTGTTTATATGTAACTGGCTTATCTATCTTCCTGCTGTTTATATGTAACTGGCTTATCTATCTTCCTGCTGTTTATTTGTAACTGGCTTATCTATCTTACTGTTGTTTATATGTAACTGGCTTATCTATCTTCCTGCTGTTTATATGTAACTGGCTTATCTAATGTAACTGGCTTATCTATCTTACTGCTGTTTATATGTAACTGGCTTATCTATCTTCCTGCTGTTTATATGTAACTGGCTTATCTATCTTACTGCTGTTGATCTGTAACTGGCTTATCTATCTTCCTGCTGTTTATATGTAACTGGCTTATCTATCTTCCTGCTGTTTATATGTAACTGGCTTATCTATCTTCCTGCTGTTTATATGTAACTGGCTTATCTATCTTCCTGCTGTTTATATGTAACTGGCTTATCTATCTTCCTGCTGTTTATATGTAACTGGCTTATCTATCTTACTGCTGTTTATATGTAACTGGCTTATCTATCTTCCTGCTGTTTATATGTAACTGGCTTATCTATCATACTGCTGTTTATATGTAACTGGCTTATCTATCTTCCTGCTGTTTATATGTAACTGGCTTATCTATCTTCCTGCTGTTTATTTGTAACTGGCTTATCTATCTTACTGCTGTTTATATGTAACTGGCTTATCTATCTTCCTGCTGTTTATATGAAACTGGCTTATCTAATGTAACTGGCTTATCTATCTTACTGCTGTTTATATGTAACTGGCTTATCTATCTTCCTGCTGTTTATATGTAACTGGCTTATCTATCTTACTGCTGTTTATATGTAACTGGTTTATCTATCTTACTGCTGTTTATATGTAACTGGCTTATCTATCTTCCTGCTGTTTATATGTAACTGGCTTATCTATCTTCCTGCTGTTTATATGTAACTGGCTTATCTATCTTCCTGCTGTTTATATGTAACTGGCTTATCTATCTTCCTGCTGTTTATATGTAACTGGCTTATCTATCTTCCTGCTGTTTATCTTAACTGCCTTATCTATCTTCCTGCTGTTTATCTGTAACTGGCTTATCTATCTTCCTGCTGTTTATCTGTAACTGGCTTATCTATCTTCCTGCTGTTATCTGTAACTGGCTTATATATCTTACTGCTGTTGATCTGTAACTGGCTTATCTATCTTCCTGCTGTTTATCTGTAACTGGCTTATCTATCTTCCTGCTGTTATCTGTAACTGGCTTATCTATCTTCCTGCTGTTATCTGTAACTGGCTTATCTATCTTACTGCTGTTGATATGTAACTGGCTTATCTATCTTCCTGCTGTTATCTGTAACTGGCTTATCTATCTTACTGCTGTTATCTGTAACTGGCTTATCTATCTTACTGCTGTTGATCTGTAACTGGCTTATCTATCTTCCTGCTGTTTATATGTAACTGGCTTATCTATCTTCCTGCTGTTTATATGTAACTGGCTTATCTATCTTCCTGCTGTTTATCTTAACTGCCTCATCTATCTTCCTGCTGTTTATCTGTAACTGGCTTATCTATCTTACTGCTGTTGATCTGTAACTGGCTTATCTATCTTACTGCTGTTTATCTGTAACTAGCTTAGCTATCTTACTGCTGTTTATATGTAACTGGCTTATCTATCTAACTGCTGTTTATATGTAACTGGCTTATCTATCTTAATGCTGTTTATCTGTAACTGGCTTATCTATCATACTGCTGTTTATATGTAACTAGCTTATCTATCTTACTGAGGTTTATATGTAACTGGTTTATCTATCTTACTGCTGTTTATCTGTAACTGGCTTAGTCTGTCCCACCCAGGGGCTGATGAGTGAATGTGTCTCGGAGGACTATTCCCAAACCAGCACTGCTCACAAACTGGGTCCTGGAATACTTCCTAATATTGCAGAAATTGCCTGGCAAGGAAGGACTGTCACTTTAGACTCTCACTACAACATGGCCTAACTCTTCAGTCACTACATCATGACCTAACACTTTAGACTCTCACTACATCATGACCTAACACTTTAGACTCTCACTACAACATGACCTAACACTTTAGACTCTCACTACAACATGACCTAACACTTTAGACTCTCACTACAACATGACCTAACTCTTCAGTCACTACATCATGACCTAACACTTTAGACTCTCACTACATCATGACCTAACACTTTAGACTCTCACTACAACATGACCTAACACTTTAGACTCTCACTACAACATGACCTAACACTTTAGACACTACATCATGACCTAACACTTTAGACTCTCACTACAACATGGCCTAACACTTCAGACACTACATCATGACCTAACACTTTAGACTCTCACTACAACATGGCCTAACACTTTAGACTCTCACTACATCATGACCTAACACTTTAGACTCTCACTACAACATGACCTAACACTTTAGACTCTCACTACAACATGACCTAACACTTTAGACTCTCACTACATCATGACCTAACACTTTAGACTCTCACTACAACATGACCTAACACTTTAGACTCTCACTACAACATGACCTAACACTTTAGACTCTCACTACAACATGACCTAACACTTTAGACTCTCACTACAACATGACCTAACACTTTAGACTCTCACTACAACATGACCTAACACTTTAGACTCTCACTACAACAGGACCTAACACTTTAGACTCTCACTACAACATGACCTAACACTTTAGACTCTCACTACATCATGACCTAACACTTTAGACTCTCACTACAACATGACCTAACACTTTAGACTCTCACTACAACATGACCTAACACTTTAGACTCTCACTACATCATGACCTAACACTTTAGACTCTCACTGCAACATGACCTAACATTTTAGACTCTCACTACAACATGACCTAACACTTTAGACTCTCACTACAACATGACCTAACACTTTAGACTCTCACTACAACATGACCTAACACTTTAGGCTCTCACTACAACATGACCTAACACTTTAGACTCTCACTACAACATGACCTAACACTTTAGACTCTCACTACAACATGACCTAACACTTTAGACTCTCACTACAACATGACCTAACACTTTAGACTCTCACTACAACATGACCTAACACTTTAGACTCTCACTACAACATGACCTAACACTTTAGACTCTCACTACATCATGACCTAACACTTTAGACTCTCACTGCAACATGACCTAACACTTTAGACTCTCACTGCAACATGACCTAACACTTTAGACTCTCACTACAACATGACCTAACACTTTAGACTCTCACTACAACATGACCTAACACTTTGGACTCTCACTACAACATGACCTAACACTTTAGACTCTCACTACAACATGACCTAACACTTTAGACTCTCACTACAACATGACCTAACACTTTAGACTCTCACTGCAACATGACCTAACACTTTAGACTCTCACTACATCATGACCTAACACTTTAGACTCTCACTGCAACATGACCTAACACTTTAGACTCTCACTACAACATGACCTAACACTTTAGACTCTCACTACAACATGACCTAACTCTTCAGTCACTACATCATGACCTAACACTTTAGACTCTCACTACATCATGACCTAACACTTTAGACTCTCACTGCAACATGACCTAACATTTTAGACTCTCACTACAACATGACCTAACACTTTAGACTCTCACTACAACATGACCTAACACTTTAGACTCTCACTACAACATGACCTAACACTTTAGGCTCTCACTACAACATGACCTAACACTTTAGACTCTCACTACAACATGACCTAACACTTTAGACTCTCACTACAACATGACCTAACACTTTAGACTTTCACTACAACATGACCTAACACTTTAGACTCTCACTACAACATGACCTAACACTTTAGACTCTCACTACAACATGACCTAACACTTTAGACTCTCACTACATCATGACCTAACACTTTAGACTCTCACTACAACATGACCTAACACTTTAGACTCTCACTACAACATGGCCTAACTCTTCAGTCACTACATCATGACCTAACACTTTAGACTCTCACTACAACATGACCTAACACTTTAGACTCTCACTACATCATGACCTAACACTTTAGACTCTCACTACATCATGACCTAACACTTTAGACTCTCACTACAACATGACCTAACACTTTAGACTCTCACTACATCATGACCTAACACTTTAGACTCTCACTACAACATGACCTAACACTTTAGGCTCTCACTACAACATGACCTAACACTTTAGACTCTCACTACAACATGACCTAACACTTTAGACTCTCACTACAACATGACCTAACACTTTAGACTTTCACTACAACATGACCTAACACTTTAGACTCTCACTACAACATGACCTAACACTTTAGACTCTCACTACAACATGACCTAACACTTTAGACTCTCACTACAACATGACCTAACACTTTAGACTCTCACTACAACATGACCTAACACTTTAGACTCTCACTACAGCATGACCTAACACTTTAGACTCTCACTACAGCATGACCTAACACTTTAGACTCTCACTACAGCATGACCTAACACTTTAGACTCTCACTACAACATGACCTAACACTTTAGACTCTCACTACATCATGACCTAACACTTTAGACTCTCACTACAACATGACCTAACACTATAGACTCTCACTACAACATGACCTAACACTTTAGGCTCTCACTACAGCATGACCTAACACTTTAGACTCTCACTACAGCATGACCTAACACTTTAGACTCTCACTACAACATGACCTAACACTTTAGACTCTCACTACATCATGACCTAACACTTTAGACTCTCACTACAACATGACCTAACACTTTAGACTCTCACTACAACATGACCTAACACTTTAGACTCTCACTACAACATGACCTAACACTTTAGACTCTCACTACAACATGACCTAACACTTTAGACTCTCACTACAACATGACCTAACACTTTAGACTCTCACTACAACATGACCTAACACTTTAGACTCTCACTACAACATGACCTAACACTTTAGACTCTCACTACAACATGACCTAACACTTTAGACTCTCACTACAACATAACCTAACACGTTAGACTCTCACTACAACATGACCTAACACTTTAGGCTCTCCCTACAACATGACCTAACACTTCAGGCTCTCACTACCGCAGGACCGAATACTTTAGACCCTTAAATCTACATCTTCAAAGAGAATACATTTACCTAAGAATCTTTATGTGATCTGGGAAGGCAAGCCAGACCCCAGTAAAATTAATCATGGACAGGACAAGTGTGGACTACCTGAGCTGGCTGAGAGTTGCCTGACTGACAGTGTCTGCATCTCCCAACACCTGGACAAGCTCCTGGTACACCTGATCCTGGATATCTTTGTGAGTGGCCAAGAAGTAGAAGCACCAGGTCAGCACTGAAACATAACAGACAACCAAATGAATATTCCTGAAAAAGGGAACATCTTTTGTAGAAATCAACAAATGTAAATTTAGCTTTACATGAGACAGAATTCATCCCCTACAGAGGAGGTGTCTGCCCCAGCCATGTGTCTGTCCTACCCAGCAGCTGATGTAGCCCCAGCCATGTGTCTGTCCTACCCAGCAGCTGATGTAGCCCCAGCCATATGTCTGTCCTACCCAGCAGCTGATGTAGCCCCAGCCAGATGTCTGTCCTACCCAGCAGCTGATGTAGCCCCAGCCATGTGTCTGTCCTACCCAGCAGCTGATGTAGCCCCAGCCAGATGTCTGCCTCAGTCAGGTGACTACCCCGACTACATGTCTGCACTAGACAGCTGTTGGGGTGCCTCAGTGAGATGTCTGCCACAGCCAGGTGACTTCCGCGTTACACTTACATCTACAACTACAACCTGGAACATACATATAACAGAAAATATGTCTAATCCAATCTTATATCAGGACCACATAAACATGCAAAACAGTCGACAATCTGCAATACTTAACTTGTAGACTTAATAACTCTTTGAGTCCCCAGGGGTTTAGCATCAGAGGCCCAAGGGGTGATCAAGAGAGACGTAAAATTTGCGCACCTTGCGTTCATTGTTCTTCTAGACTGGAACCTATGAACGTATGATGCATTACTTGGGACTCAAAGAGTTAAGCTTTCACAGAATGTACTCACAATTTGCAGTTGTGTGGAAAGCCCCTATCATGTAGGTGAGGGTGTCACATTCGACAGCCTCCTCATTGGGACCAAATTCCAGGATGTCGTCTATGAGAATATTTGCTGGCTTTTTTAGATTCTTATCCTGACGATGTTTGATCACCTTCTTAATGGTGGTTCGCAGATACTTGACAGCTGCAAGTTCAACAATCATCATCAATGGAAATGTCAGTACAAAGGTCATCATCAATGGAAGTGTCAACATAGGAGTTACTAACAGCAAACACAGGGGTAGGCATATCTAAAGCAGATCCTGCTGCAGGTTGTGGAAAATGGGGGGGGGGGGGGGGGGGGGTGAGTGTGTACATGTGTGCACGTCCAGGCATGTATGTGCTTGCGTATGTGAGTAAGAGAGAGAGACAGACAGACACAGACAGATAGAGAGAGAGAAAGAACAAAAGAACTTCAGACAGAGTGAGAGAGAGAAATGTCAGAGCTTTGTTGTTTCTAGAGATTCAAATGATGACAATCCAGATGTTTGCCTGAATGCATTTGGTGAGTTTTCTGACAAATCTATGGTGCATCATTTATTAAAAAATGAATGCTTTGTTGAATTCTGCCACACCTGCTGATGTTTCTCTCATGCTTTTGTAATAAAGCCATTGGAAGAGGTTTCAAATGATTGTTTGTTATACAATGAAAATTCAGAGTTGTATCCACATTTTAAGTGGAAAACTGCTTTCATTTCACATTCTACTGTGAAAAATTGAATTTCACCCTCATCTTACAGTTAACAAATTGAAACACAAATACTGTATAAAGAATCTATATGAGAAAACATTAATGAAAGATAAAATCGTCTTCTTCTTCGCGTTCACTGGCTGTAAATTCCACAGGGAAAATCTGGATGTCTGTCTCTACTCTAGTCCTGTTTTAAAACATGAGTGTTGCGTGTACATACATTTTACAGATCTTACTCATTTGTACGGTGACTGGTGGCGATCTTACCCATTTGTACAGTGACTGCTGGTGATCTTACCCTTTTGTACGGTGACTGGTGGCGATCTTACCCATTTGTACAGAGACTGGTGGTGATATTACTCATTTGTATAGTGACTGGTGGTGATCTTACTCATTTGAACAGTGACTGGTGGTGATCTTACTCATTTGTACAGTGACTGGTGGTGATCTTACTCATTTGTACAGTGACTGGTGGTGATCTTACTCATTTGTACAGTGACTGGTGGTGATCTTACTCATTTGTACAGTGACTGGTGGTGATCTTACTCATTTGTACAGTGACTGGTGGTGATCTTACTCATTTGTACAGTGACTGGTGGTGATCTTACTCATTTGTACAGTGACTGGTGGTGATCTTACTTATTTGTACAGTGACTGGTGGTGATCTTACTCATTTGTACAGTGACTGGTGGTGATCTTACTTATTTGTACAGTGACTGGTGGTGATCTTACTCATTTGTACAGTGACTGGTGGTGATCTTACTTATTTGTACAGTGACTGGTGGTGATCTTACTCATTTGTAGTGACTGGTGGTGATCTTACTCATTTATACAGTGACTGGTGGTGATCTTACTTATTTGTACAGTGACTGGTGGTGATCTTACTCATTTGTACAGTGACTGGTGGTGATCTTACTCATTTGTACAGTGACTGGTGGTGATCTTACCCATTTGTACAGTGACTGGTGGTGATCTTACTCATTTGTACAGTGACTGGTGGTGATCTTACTCATTTGTACAGTAATGTGGTGATCTTACTCATTTGTAGTGACTGGTGGTGATCTTACCCATTTGTACAGTGACTGGTGGTGATCTTACTCATTTGTACAGTGACTGGTGGTGATCTTACCCATTTGTACAGTGACTGGTGGTGATCTTACCCATTTGTACAGTGACTGGTGGTGATCTTACTCATTTGTACAGTGACTGGTGGTGATCTTACTCATTTGTACAGTGACTGGTGGTGATCTTACTCATTTGTACAGTGACTGGTGGTGATCTTACCCATTTGTACAGTGACTGGTGGTGATCTTACTCATTTGTACAGTGACTGGTGGTGATCTTACTCATTTGTACAGTGATGTGGTGATCTTACTCATTTGTACAGTGACTGGTGTTGATCTTACTCATTTGTACAGTGACTGGTGGTGATCTTACTCATTTGTACAGTGACTGGTGGTGATCTTACTCATTTGTACAGTGACTGGTGGTGATCTTACTCATTTGTACAGTGACTGGTGGTGATCTTACTCATTTGTACAGTGACTGGTGGTGATATTACCCATTTGTACAGTGACTGGTGGTGATCTTACTCATTTGTACAGTGACTGGTGGTTGCTTGCCTCTCAGGCAGAAATAAAGCACTCTGGTTTGAAGGAAGCTCCCCACTAGTCGACTCTTATGGCATGCATTTCAGTAGTCTATTCTTGTTTAACCCCAAAATTGGGCCCCCGAACCCACATAGGGAAAAAATAAAATCTAAAAGGATACCTTCGTTGAACTGGGTCATTCTGAGACTTTTCTCGTCTGGGATCACAGGGTCTGTCAGGCGGTGCTCCATCTCACTCCAGGCCTATCAAATACAAAAATGAACATGAGACAATAATATGTCAAAATAATGGGTCAAAATTCACTCCTGTTTTTATATATCGAAAGAGACTTCACATTTCAGTTGGATTTATTCAGTTTTGTGCTTCAGTTTATGTTGATGTAACCCTGTAGTAATGCACCTGACGAGATACAGTGAAATATACCTAGCAATAAATTGTGCAATGTATTGTTTGTGTCTGCATTATTTAAATATATATCTGTATTTTTCTTCTTAATTGATAAAGGCTGATGAAAATCTTACAGTATATGTTTCTGTTTGTTGAACTTCCCAGCAGCATTTCACTTTAATTCATAGTTGATCTGCAATAAAGTCCTTGATATAACTAATTTAAAATGTTCTGTGCTTGTACTGTTGTAGAATTTAGAAACTTTAAAGAAGTCCTCACCTTATCATAAGCATTTCTAAAACTCAACACTAGCTTGTCATCGGAGAAGCTCTCTCCTAGAAGTGTCAGTAGCGCCGCCTTGATGGCGTATGTGAACATGTGTTCCGACAAGGGGATGTGATCCTCACTGGTCTTCTCCAGCCATGTCTTCTCTATGGAGTGGGCCACCTGCAGACAAAGAGACAGGCAGCAGTCAATACATGAGACATCTCCAATGAGACGTTGTACAGCCAGGCATAAATGTGCTTGCCAGCACTCATGAAAACAGTTTTGCTATATACACTCTCAAAATAGCAGCTAATATGTTGTGCTCTCATGATAAGAATAACAAACACACACTGTCTATTGTTCAGTCTACCCAGAACTGTATTGCAGGCTGGCTATTCAGAAATAGCCAAGGGTTGTACGAAATGCTAGCAAACCCACATTCAGAAATCAGATGTTCAGGCAGCCAAGTTGTACTGTATACTTTAGGCATGATGATCTGACAAACATGATTGCCTTCTTCTTGCCTAGAACAGCGGCACTCAATCAACTCAAGCCCTGTCATCAGTGGCCATTTGCTACAGCTGACTTCATGTCTGTCCAGCTGCCCTGAATGTCTGCAGACATCCTAACATGATGATAATACTGACACAATTGACAATAATTTCTGTTCAATACTAAGCTGCAGGCTCTGAATTAGGGCCACACTGGTTTATGTACAACATCTAGAAGGCAATTATCAATGTAGGTATTTTAGGAAAAGGAAATGAGGTAGGAAGATGACCACCACATGCAGTAAATACACACTGATCATCTCAGGCCTGGACAACTGTATCCATAGAGAAGACATTATGGTAGTCTTACTTTCAGCCCCATCTTTTGCTCCGCTCTTGTGCCAACAAAAAACACACAGAATGTTTATCACAGTCCCTTGTGGAAAGATTGACAGACTGCTGTCTCAGCATATCTAGCTTACACACGCATTAAAGCATACGGTAGCGATCCGAAGTGCTAACACAAACAGTCCGACATTAGAAATGCAGTTCATCATTGATGGTAGCAGAAGTCACCAACAGATCAGCAGTTGCCCACGTAATCAATTTTAATCACATACGGGCACCACCAATATTGCGATGACAAGACAGAGAAGACATTTTAAATACTGTCTACTTGGGTTCTAATATTTACTGTTCTTTTCTGACTGTCTACTTTCGCACTATCTACTCTGAATAACAATGTTAACTACCGAATGAAATATATGATATACCTTTTGAAACTTTTCATAATACATGGGGAACTTCTCGTGAGCGAAGGCACGATCATAGTGCTGTCTTCTTGTACGTCCATCTGTGCCATTAGTGTACTGTATGGACTGTGGTCCAATTAAAGGTTCAAAGATCTTGAACAATTCCACTGGGAGTAAAGTGTCATTTATAAGTTACAGCAACATAAACATCCGTGTCACTACAAAAACTACATGAATTGTTATGATGTTTAAAAGACAATTATAACAACATAGCATATATCAAATTGCCTTCTCCTCATCCACATTCACTTTCTATTCATTCTTCCTGTTCTGCTTCTTATTCTGTGGATTTCTCTAATGCCGATTTCCTGCTTCTGTGTCTCAATCTTGACCTGCTGACAAAGGCACTGGTTGCATGTTATCTGTTTACAGCGACTTCCTGGCCACATTATTACACTACCATGACAGAACATTTATAGTATGTGTGATTCAGCTCAGGTTAGTTTTCAGGACATTGCTGAGCCAACCACAGCCTTTGCTGGCCGTTTTTGGTTTTACTAGGTAATTTTATTCTCTGTAGTTTGCTTCTACTTTCTGAATATTCAGCTCTTGATACCTTTGTCCAAATCAATCCAAGGTGGTCTGCTGCCAATTCTCCCACAACAGCTACCTCAGAATTACAAAGGGTATTTGCAAGGCCTCAGCCACAAATACTGTCCTCAAGGGATCAGATCGGAGAACTTACCGACAGGTTCACGTTCAAGATGCTTCTGAAATCAAATCAATACAAGTGGATTTGTTTTCACACCATAAAAGGTCATGAGAAAGATGTTATTCATCAACAAGTTTGAAATCATAGCAATAGACACAAATATCATGGATCCGTCTCCCCCATGAGATAGGGAAGTGTGGAAGACAAGTTTGAAATCACAGCACTAGACACAAATATCACAGATCAGTCTCCACCCTGAGATAGGGAAGTGTGTAAGACAAGGGTGAAATCATAGCACTAGACACAAATATCATGGATCAGTCTCTCCCATGAGACAGGGAAGTGTGTAAGACAAGGGTAACTGACCTGGTCTGTCAAACACTGCCGAGTGCTGCTTGAACAGCTGTGGGGATGCAATGCTGACAACGTAGGTTTGACCCCACCAGAAGCCTGTGATGGGGCCATATGTGGTGTGGGTCTCTTGGAGAAACTCGTGCAGGCTGCCAGCACGGGCGATGTCACTGAGGTTCCCATCTCTGCAACAGAAAGCTATTACATAAAGATACAATACAAATTATTCCTGTATCTGTTAACTCCCTACTTGTCATGTCTTATCAGATAGACTTACAAGTGATAGACATCATTAACATTACCAGTCAACTCTATCTATTAGATTAATAACCAACACAGTTCATTCACATTTCTGCCAAAAGCACAGGTTGTGGTCTTCTACTAACATGTAATACTCTCCACCCTTCTGCCACCTGATTTTGTGTGCATCTTATTTGTGGCTCAGCTGTAGAAGCTTTCCACAGACAACTTTCTGACACGCCTCATCTCTCTTGCCTAGTATTTTTACAGTTTCTCTATACATCTTCTGCTGACATGCCTTACAAAAGTCATGTCATTTCCCCATGTATTATGAATGATTCTGTTAACATCTGAGGCATTTAATACGTAAGCGTATGTTTTCTTTTGAAGCGCGGAAATCTCAAAACTATGCAATCACGCATCCATTTTCTTCAATAATTCACGATCTATTGTAACACACTGACACCCAGACAGAAGCTCTCTAAGGTCGTATAGGTAAAGCTCTCTAAGGTCGTATAGGTAAAGCTCTCTAAGGTCATATAGGTAAAGCTCTCTAAGGTCATATAGGTAAAGCTCTCTAAAGTCATATAGGTAAAGCTCTCTAAGGTCATTTGGGTAAAGCTCTCTAAGGTCGTATAGGTAAAGCTCTCTAAGGTCGTATAAGTAAAGCTCTCTAAGGTCATATAGGTAAAGCTCTCTAAGGTCATATAGGTAAAGCTCTCTAAGGTCATATAGGTAAAGCTCTCTAGGTCATATAGGTAAAGCTCTCTAAGGTCGTATAGGTAAAGCTCTCTAAGGTCATATAGGTAAAGCTCTCTAAGGTCGTATAGGTAAAGCTCTCTAAGGTCATATAAGTAAAGCTCTCTAAGGTTCTATAGGTAAAGCTCTCTAAGGTCATATAGGTAAAGCTCTCTAAGGTCGTATAGGTAAAGCTCTCTAAGGTCATATAGGTAAAGCTCTCTAAGGTCGTATAGGTAAAGCTCTCTAGGTCATATTGGTAAAGCTCTCTAAGGTCGTATACATAAAGCTCTCTAAGGTCATATAGGTAAAGCTCTCTAAGGTCGTATAGGTAAAGCTCTCTAAGGTCGTATAAGTTAAGCTCTCTAAGGTCATATAGGTAAAGTTCTCTTTGGTCATATAGGTAAAGCTCTCTAAGGTCATATAGGTAAAGCTCTCTAAGGTCATATACGTAAAGCTCTCTAAGGTCGTATACGTAAAGCTCTCTAAGGTCGTACATGTAGGGCTCTCAATGACAGATTGTCACATGTGATAATGGAAGCTGCCAGGGTGTAGTGAATAGCATTCTTGCCCTCCAGTCCAGTGGTCTTATACTCACATCCCCATCAAGGCAGACATTTTAAACCCACATGAGTACCCAAGTCAACCTACCCTAACAATAAGTAACTGGAGATGTAAGTAAACATGATTGTGACATCTCTTGGTCAGTGCTGACTGGTATATGCAATATTTGCAGAGTATCATAATTCCAATACTGTCATGATCCTGTTTCAGACAGGGTGCCTAGATGAGCCCAGGAGTATATAGGCATAAGGAAATGTTTTGGTAGTAAAGGTAGACATAGTTATACAGACCACAACACGTCTCAAGTGCCAACTGGTCTCGAAAATATATACAGCTAGCAAATGCAACTGCTGACCCAAACATCCATGATAGGGTCCCTACACATGCACAACTGTTGACCCCAACATCCATGATAGGGTCCCTACAGATGCACAACTGCTGACCCCAACATCCATGATAGGGTCCGTTCAGATGCACAACTGCTGACCCCAACATCCATGATAGGGTCCCTACAGATGCACAACTGTTGACCCCAAACATCTATGATAGGGTCCCTACAGATGCACAACTGTTGACCCCAACATCCATGATAGGGTCCCTACAGATGCACAACCATAACTGCTGACCCCAACATCCATAAAAGGGTCCCTACAGATCACAACCATCACTGTTGACCCCAACAAGCATGATAGGGTCCCTACAGATTCACAAATGTTGACCCCAACATGCATGATAGGGTCCGTACAGATTCACAACTGCTGACTCCAACATCCATAAAAGGGTCCCTACAGATGCACAACTGTTGACCCCAACATGCATGATAGGGTCCCTACAGATGCACAACTGTTGACTCCAACATGCATGATAGGGTCCCTACAGATGCACAACTGTTGACCCCAACATGCATGATAGGGTCCCTACAGATGCACAACCATAACTGCTGACCACAACATCCATGATAGGGTGCCTACAGATGCACAACCATAACTGCTGACCCCATCATCCATGATAGGGTCCCTACCGATGCACAACAACAACTGCTGACCCCAACATCTGTGATAGGGTTCCTATAGATGCTCAACTGCTGACCCCAACATCTGTGATAGGGTCCCTACAGATGCACAACCACAACTGCTGACCCCAACATCTGTGATAGGGTCCCTACAGATGCACAACCACAACTGCTGACCCCAACATCTGTGATAGGGTCTCTACAGATGCACAACTGTTGACCCCAAACATCCATGATAGGGTCCCTACAGATGCACAACTGATGACCCCCCAACATCTGTGATAGGGTCCCTACAGATGCACAACTGCTGACCCCAACATCTGTGATAGGGTCCCTACAGATGTACAACAACAACTGCTGACCCCAACATCTGTGATAGGGTCCCTACAGATGCACAACCAATGGTTTCAAATATCAACACTTACTCTTTGGTTGAAGGGTCTAGGCCAGGAATTGTTGTTACCCTTTTGGAACTCTGTCAGAAACAAGAAATAAACATTGACATGTAAACATTTGTCTATTTTGTTGTTTGTTGTACATCTATTTTATTGCTACACAAATCATCTGCAAACAAACCATAAATTATTATATCTTTTAAATCATCATTTAGAAACTGAAAAGAAATACTCATATATTTTGTTTCTTTAATTTCATTTACCAAGAAATACCAAGTTAGATTTAGCACTGCTTGAATTTAAGTAAAAAATAAGTAAGAGATACACTATAAATGTTCACAATAGATTAACTCTTTGAGTCCCAGGGAACTCATCACATGCTTATTTGTTACAACCAAGCAGCCCAATCAACACGTGACAAGTGGCGATTTTTAATCTACCACTGACCCGTAATAAAAGGCGGACCGCTCAATTTCAGCTTCCTTTCGAGTTCTTTCTGTCTGATATTAGGCGTGCTCATTTAGATACATGGTTTGAAAGCCAAAAATATAGTATATTTCGGTGGTTTGCCGAGCTATCTAGTGTTGTTTGAAAATAATATGGCCGCCAAGCAGTATTCTACATGCTTGCCAACTTGATTTACGGCTTTAGAAGCCTCAAATTTAAATAAAGTATTGTTTTTTTTAAAGATTTATCCAAAGTTAGATAGATAACATTGCAAATTAGACGTGTTTCAGTCATTTATAGTCAAACTTTGATGAGAGATATGTCTAATGTGTACCTCACGCCAAGGGTACAATGATAGCAAAGTCAGCTGGCACAAATAGAATAAACATTAGTGAAAAGACAATTTTCTTCAGTATCCGTTAGTTCTATTGCTATTTTTTAAATTTAATTTTACTAATTTTTGTAAACATACCGTCTGTTTATTTACTAATAATTAATTAATAACACAATTATTTGTTGTAGCTGTATTCTATAATTTTTCCTTAACAATCGCTGGTCACTTTGATGTATAATATGTGTATGTTGTACAGCAATTGAATTAGTATGGTCTGTTTTAATGTGTTACACTTGTGAAATTAAAAAAAAACCTTGGGCCTCTGATGCTAAACCCCCTGGGACTCAAAGAGTTAAATGCTACTAAAAAACATCAGAAGTATAGATGAACAAAGGCAGTCATTACAACAGACATCCAAGGAAACATTACCAGAGGTAAAGAGGACGGGAAAGAAAAAATGGATGACAGTGGTAATATTACAAATTAGGGAAACTGGACAAAAAAATAAACACAACCAAGATAAATAATTTTAAAAAAATAATACATGAAGAGATTGTATGTAAATATAATGCAAGAGATTGTATGTAAATGTAATGCAAGAGATTGTATGTAAATGTAATGCAAGAGATTGTATGTAAATGTAATACAAGAGATTGTATGTAAATGTAATGCAAGAGATTGTATGTAAATGTAATGCAAGAGATTGTATGTAAATGTAATGCAAGAGATTGTATGTAATTGTAATGGTAATGCAGCAAAAAAAACAGTTACTGGGAAAGACCACCAATTTCTTAGTGTCCATGAAAATCTAGAATCAATGGTCACTTGAGGCTACACTAACTTTATATATAAGTCTTTACTGTTACGTCTAATGCATGTAACTTAAATTAGGAGTTACTATTAATAATATAATATTAATCTAGGAATAACTTTATACAGAGTGGCGTATAGAGCGTATGTAATGTTCTTACTGGTAAAACTGTATACACAGCCGAGAACTGTCTACTTCATTAATTATATAGCCGGATGAAACGTGTCTAGGTGTCAGGCTGTGGAGGTCTTGGATGTAACTACGCCTGCACTTCTTGTTCTCTCCCACCTTGTACCTCATCGAAGTGTTGGGGGGAGATGCAATGTTCGTGGCTGAATTTTGTCAAGAGCACTAAGACTGATGTTCATTTCTGTAGTGTAAGGCTGTTCTTAATGCCATTCTTCCACTCGCTCTATACCAGTTGTAACTACATGCTTGAAACAAAACAAGATTTTAAGTGTAACGTGGTCTGCACTACATGCAGGAAATGCAACAAAACTGCAGACTGAACAAAAGCCTGCGAGGGACTCGGCCTTGGTTCTCAGGCGCTAGGGCTGATCAGCTTTGATGGCAAAATTCAGGAAGCAGAAAAGTCCCGCTTGTTGGCAAAACTTACCGGGTACAGCCATATTATTGCAACCAGAAGCACCGTCAAGAAAGTGACCGCGAATATTGCAAAGTCCAGCATCTTTTGTCAATGAATATATTTACAATAATAAGCAGAAAGTGGTCGATGCCACAAAAGCGTAGCCAGGCCCCGGGAAGAAAGCTGCTCGCGTCTGCTGGTCCTTACTTGAGAGTTGTCGTCCTTTGTTTACGTGGCTGCTGGCCTTGACCCCAGCTGGCTCCCGCGTTGAATGTTGGTAAACAGAAAAGGGCTCACAAACCTGCAGCTGCAACAACAGCCTCACAATGAAACATGGAGTTCCACAAGGCGAAGTTCTGTCCCCAATTATTTTCCTAGTTTACATTAACGACATAAAATCGATCCTCTGTAATGGAGTTCAAGCTGTTATGTATGCCGATGATCTAGCGCTACTGAGTTCAGAGGAGGACACTGGAAAAGCTCAGACAAGGCTTCAAGAATCCCTCTGAACTCGAGAGAAGTTGTCCAATAGTCGGTACATGCCTGTAAATGGGGCCAAAGCCACCCACACCATTTTCCTTCTCTCTGCCAAACCTCAGAAAGTTTCACTTACATATGGCAGCCAGGCACTGAAACGTGATGACTCACCGTCATATTTAGGAGTAACTTTTGACCCAAGACTCACATGGAGAAAACAGATAGAAAAGACACAGAGCAAAGGACTCAAGAGAACCCAACTGATGAGGAAGTTAGCTGGAACAGACTGAGTGGGGGGGGGGGGCAAACCTCAATGTCCGATATACAGGCTATGTGAGGCAATTACTAGAGTACGGAACAGCTGCTTGGGGCACAGGCTTAGGGATAGCCTACCAACAGTCAGAACCACTGTAACAGGGATCTCCTCCAAATCATCAATGAGCAGCACTGATATGAAATCAACTACAGAAGGAGAGATCAACAGACTTTATCCACACCAGAGTTGGATTCGAGTGTATACAGATGGTTCAGTCAAGAGAGCAGTAAGAGACGGAGGAGAAGGAATATACATAGAATGCCCAAATGGTTTAAAAATCAACCAGGCTGTACCAACAGGTTCATATTCCTCCAATTACAGAGGCAGAAGCACTTCTAGCAGCATGTTCTTTCCTGAATGGAGAACAGTACAGCAAATATAGCAGAGTGGTCTTTCTGACTGATGCTATGTCAGTTCTACTAGCAATTGTTAACCCAAAAAGACAC